TTATGGGCTACTTGTCTCTTTTAGAATATTTTGCTGAGTTTACACACCTATAATATTCAATAACGGAACTTAGAAAAAAATGGGGTATACGGATGAATGTCCGTTTTGTATCTGTGTATTCAAAGTGGTTAGGATAGATATATAGTTGTATTCTCTTCATGAATAGAATGATTTGTTCTAATGGTGTTTGTAAATAGGATCTCAAGTCCGCATCTTGTACTGCAATTAACCACTAAGAAGAATATATGCATTGTGTTATTTGTTGACTCTGTACTTCGGATTTGATTTGAAACTGTCTCATTGCTGTTTATCAATAAAATTTTGGAAAAAAAAAAAAAAACAGACTGGGCTCTAACTTGTGATTCTTGTCTTCCTGCCTCAGCCTCCCACGCTATTAGGATGCCAAGCATGCACCACCGTGCCTCGCTCCCTGGATTGTCAGCTGACGCATCTGGGACGCAGATAAGATCCAGCATTCCCCTGTCTCGGGGCATGCTGGCCAGATGAGCCAACAGCACACGTGAAGGAGAGGCTCTGCAAACTATGAGGTGCTGGAGAATGTGAAGTCCATCCCAAGTGAAGCACCTCTCTCTGGGCATGCACTGGAGAGGATGCCTTGATAAGAACTCCTGCAGGACCCCACCGGATACCCACAGCAACTTCGGGAGGTCAGGACAGAGGTCCAACTACCATCTCCATGTTATGGATGCAGAAACTTCTGGCAGCAAGCTCTAAATGGGGTCTTAACTGTGCATTTGCTAACAGGCTCTCCCTCCTCCTTGTACCAGGGTCAGGGGATGGCAAAAACACAGAGCGCTGGCTCTTGCAGAAGAAAGAATTCTTCCAAGGCAGCCAAAATGATTAATGTCTTTAATTAAATGTTTTTAAGTACATCCAAGGAGCAATGATCCCTGGAAATTTAAGGAACTGAAGTGTCTAAGTTTCTCCCAGGAGCCAAAGCACTTAGGAGAGCTCTGGACTGGCTGGAGGCTCACAGCCTGGGGCAAGGCATTCAAGGCCCTGTGTTCTTCAACACCCCAAACCTCCTGCCCTCAGAGAGGAGCCAGGGGCAAGGAGACTGACACACCTCAGGTACCAAGACTCACTTGGTCTGTGTGAGGGAACCTGCTCAGACTCCCACCAACCCCAGCAAAAGAGAAGATGGGGTGAGGAGGGAGGCCTGGCCAGGGTGTGAGCAGACCCGCCAGACCCTCCCACCATGTGTCCCATTACACTGCTCCTAGGGTGGGGACATTCACTTACCCTGTGCTTGACAGACAGCCATTTCTGGCCTGGGCAAGCCAGCTGTGGACCCCTCAGGGACACTGAGCTTCCCTGAGGTTACTTAGGATTATAACAGACTGTTGCGGAACTCTGCCATCTGAGGAACTGAAGTGGCCATCACAGGCAGATCCAAGGCCAACAGGAGGTAAGAGGAGAGGGGTGGCTGGCCCCAGGCCCAGTCACAGGTCCTCTGCTTCTCTCCCTACACCCTTAGGCAGGGCCTGGTTACCTGCCCTTCTCCAAGCAGAAGTGAGTGGCACCCTGGCTGGGCTACATGAGCAAGGCCCCAAGAGAAAGAAGGGTTAATACTAGCAAGGTGAGCAGGCCCAGGTACAAGGCACAGCACCAAAGCAGCCCCAGCAAGGCAGCTTCATGCTCCGGGACACCAAGGGCAGCCACGCTCAAATGCTACCTGGACACTCCCAGGCCTGGGGCCAGCTGGGCATGCAGACGGCAGCAGGTACCAGGCACCTCACAGGCAGGGAACCTTGGCCTCGTGGCAGGAAAGCGTAAGTACAGTAAGCAACAGCATAGAGATTCTGAGCTGGAAATGGCCCAAGCACCACTGTGCTCGCAGACAGACCACGGTGCCAGACTGCAGCAGCTGTGGCAGCTGCAGACCACACAGAATGGGCCCACTTTCCCCAGCAAGCCCCTGGAATGTTAACTTCTCTGGAAACAATCCCAGAAAGGGGACAGACACAGACCCTCCTGGGCCTTTCCACTAGGGTCAGCCTAGCACGGCCTCCTTTATGGAGCACAACCAACCTGGATCCTTCCAGGGGCCACAGGTACAGGCTGAGGACACAGGCTGCTAGGCCCAGAGCTGCTCCTGCCAGCTCAGAACTGCGTCCCTGTGGGCAGACTACTGGACCACTCAGGGCAGCGTCTGCAAAGCAGGGTAGAAAGAGCAGCTGCCTCTTTGGATCGGGGTCACAGCACAGAGCAGGTGGAAGGCTCAGCACAACATCTGGCAGGAGCAGGTGCTTGGACACTTCGCTGTCCCCAAGGTCTAACTACTGTCATCTGTTCCTATGATCTGGCAGATTTGATTTCAAAACAGCCCTGCATTTGAATTCCACCTCTGATAGCTCCCTCACATGTGACCACCAACAAGTTTACACCTTTTACGCCTCGGTTTCCTCATCTACAAGATGGCTTGAGACCACCCGCGACAGGAGACCATAGAGGGGTATTTGGAATATCGCGAAAT